AGTGTTGCCAAAAAATATATATTGATTTAATTTTACTTGCCATTTTCAAAATACCAGAAACCGTATGTCTTTTTATATTAAAAAATATATGTACCATAGATACCCAGGTAATATAACACTATTAGGTAAATAATTATTTTATACGGGTTTTAATACAACATAAAAAAGGTTAGGTTCAATTTTATTTTATTCTAATGACTGACTTTAACCCAGGCTAAAGTGATTGACTTGTTGAAATTAATCATGCTGAAAAAAATAGGTCATTACATCATATCATTTTGTACTCTTTAACAGGTAGAATTTACAAAGTAAACTACATCAATAAAAAAGTTTGTAGCAATTTTAACTGATTTTATTGAAGTTACTATGCCATTATTAGATGACTACCGCATCTTCGCAATCATTAAAAATTCTATAAATTTTGATTATTTGAAAAGCAAAAAAAAAGCACCTAATTACTATAATTGATCAAATTTAACTTGAAATTAATGTAATACCAAACACTTGGCAATATCCTAGTGAATACTCTTTGTCAATTTATGATTATAGTATCAAATCAAAGACTAAGGAAATTGTGGATTCAGCCAACAACTTTGTTAGTAAATTGAAAAATGTATTCGGATCTTGTTCCACTATTCAGTTATTTGCCAATATGGTTGAATCATCAACAAAATATACCCATTAAAAAAGAGTCAAAGAAGAGTTAACTACATTTGTTGAAATAGTTAGCTAAAATGATATAGTGCTAGCTAAATAAAACTTAAATGATCAAAAATTACATTTAGTATTTAGATATAGAACATTTTTTTTATAGGGTATCCAACTTAAAAATTTAATAACAACCTATATATTTTTGTTTTCTGTTTATAGCAGGATGATATATGATAATAATAGCTAGACTAGTTTCAAATAAATACATTTTTGAGTAATTAGAGGTGTCAATAGCTGGTATAAGAAACATGTATAAATAAAAGACAAAAAATAATTTTGTGTCTTTAAATAAGAAATCAAAGCGTGTCTATGAAAAAATTTTGATTTTGAAAAGTCCAAAAGTTTTGTTGATTTTTTTTTTAAGTACTAGTTTTAACTTTTGACTGTTACAAATCAAAATATGTGTGCCACATAAATTTGGTGTACCAACACAAACAAATAAAAACTAGGCATTATCACTATGGACTTAAATCAATATTATTTCCTATCGACAAGAAGAGCTTATGTCATTTTTGGCGACATCTGTTCTATAAAAAAAAAAATATTCGTCCCAGCATTGTAGTACAAAACACATTTATCAAAAACTATAAACGTTTACACAGTTGTTGTTTGGAGTGAATTTTGTCATCAAAACCAGAAGACGGATATAGTGTTCGAGTAAGTAATTTCTTAAACAATACATATTCTGCCGACAAATTTCAAAGGTAAGTAAGTCGTGTGTGATTTCTTTTGCGAATTCAGCAAAAAGACAGTGGTGTGTTATTCCAAGACGTACAAATTGAAATCATGATTTCAACTAAATTGTGGACGGTTATTTTTTTCTATTACAATCCAATGTACGGCCATGATAAACGGTGTGCCGGAACAGAAAAGTTACTGTGTTTGTGAACTGCTAAACACATTGACGGCAGTGTCGAAATCGCCTATTCCTAAAAACAGTCAAGGCTCGCACTTGGACTACAATGAACTCAAATGCGGTTTCATTTACAGCGCCCATTTCCATATGAACTGGACGAGCGATGTGTATTCTAAAACAAAACCTACCTTTGGTTTCGTACCAAAGTCGTCGTGGGTGGGAAAATTCGCAAATAACGAAATTTCGTTACTCGACGAATCGATGCGGATAATCAACATATTGTTCGACAAAAAAGGCATCCAACTGAACGAGCTGTGGCTGTTTTACACGTACTCGCAACAAATGGCCAGCTTCTACAAAGACAAGTGCAAGAACTGCGACGCGGTCAAGATCATGGAGATGCACGATTTCGTATTTGCCCAACTGGAAAGCTATTTGCCGTGGCGTTGCCAGATTATCATTTCGATACCGATTGCCAACACTGCGAGTACTCCAAAAACAGCACCGTCGTCGCGGGTAAACCAACAACACGCGGCTGTGTACGCCGACAAAATGCCATAACGGTCAACCGAACAGCGTTAAACGCGTTGCTCCGAATGAATACCGCGGAAAAGGTGCACACGTTGGAGTTCGGTACACCGTTTTACAACTTGTCACAGTTGTATTTCAACAGTTTGCACAGTCCGTCTTTGCTGAACGACTTTCTCAGAGAAATGGTACAACCGGACAGACAAGTGGCGAGGCGTGTCTTCGAAGATCGATGACGCCAAGACGATGGCCACAAGATTCTGGGAAAACCCGGGATTGTCGAACATAGCGTACACCGGAGTGTTCCGACAAATGGTGATGGATCTGTTGAAAATAATCGCGCTGGGAAAAATAGCACGCTGTCTAATAAACAACGTCGATTACGAGTTAATAAGCGCAAGTGTGCTTGAAAATATTGTTGCAATTTTAACGGATTTCACCGAGGCCGTGTCTTTGGACGAAGACCAATTCTTGGCTGACTTAAGAAACGCTTTGAATTCCGACTCTACAATTGACCCAAAAGATCTGAACGATATCGTCACATCTATTGAACGCGAAATCGATGACATTTCCAACACTTGGCAACTTTATGCTGGTGGATATAAATTGTCCAATTATTATGGTGATAGCTGCTCGTCGGTCTCTGAAAATTCGGCGGCAAAATTTGTCAGTACGTTGAAAAGTACATTCGGCGTGTATTGTTTTCGTTACATTCGTTCATTCGGCAAAATGGCTGCTGATGTAACCAACAAAATAAAGAGACAAAAACAAACATCAAACAAAAGGTAGCTAGGTACATTGTGTAAATGAAGTTTTTCAATTTTTTTTAATCTAATCTAACGTCTTGTGTGTATTTTGTTCAGTCGAATGTTTAATAACATATTTATATATATTAAGGTCCTGAGATGGCCACCTATCATTTTAGTAAAAGTAGACATAGATATATTTAAAAAATATATGATTAATATTAAATGTCACGTTACCTTAATTTGTTCCATGAAATAATGTTAGCTAAAATAAAATTGTTTTAGTAGTGATTTTATCATCCAGGCATTTTTTTTTTGTAATTATAGTAGTCTTAACACTATAGTCTTAACAGTAGTCTTCCGTTTTCCTTTCCTCTAATCCTAATTATTATTTTAATCTCAATTAATGCTATTTAAACACATATTTTCTTGAACACTATCATGACATTTTAAATTTAATAGTATTTGCTTCGTTTGATTTGCAATCCGCAAACGCTTCATAACAAATCCTGATTTAAGTTGGTAATATTGTTTCTATTGTGTCTTTCACTTCAATAGAAAAACGAGCAAATAAATATGTGGTGTTCAGTCAATAATATAGATGTAATTAACGAGAAACATCCAATTTCAAAATTACTCAAATAGTAAAAAAGTTTTTTATGATTTAGTGAAATATTGTATCATTTATTTCAGGTTTAACTATCCCACATATCTACAGATTTTTGAGAAAATTATATAACATATGCTTTAACCCTGTTCTAGATTAACTGTATGTAGTTTTAATTTTATCATTTTCAAGAGAAAACTATAATTTGTACGGATAAATATTACTATTTAAAATATTTAATAACCAAAGAATCGTCAAAATTACAGTAAAAGTAAGTGAGAATTTAAATTGGGTATTACCAATAAAAAAAATGTAAATAGTAATTTTTATAACAAACAAAATATTATATTGGTGTCAGTAGAACAAGGAAAACAAGGAAGTACTAAACGATAGTGTAAGATCTGGCAATAAGTTGTGTACATAATTCTAGGTGAAAAGATTATAGGTCTAAACCTATAACAAGTAAAAACTGAGAAATATAATGTTTTCATAGCATTAATATTTTTAATTTTTAGTTTTTAATGTTTAGTATTTCTGTAATATTAATACTTAAACCTCAATTAGTAATGTTGTTTTTCGACAGCAATATTATTATCTATTTTCACACCCTCATTTCTTAGGGAGTTCGGTATAGGCAATTTTGTACAAAACCCTAATTTAAAGGTTTAACTGTGATGTGTAATTATTAGCTTAGTAATGGTACTCGATTTTTTTAAGACTATTACAGCATCCTTGACAGTTATATACATTTTTTTTAAAATCTAAACATAGCTAGGCATATTTTCTATTATTGACTTGACTAAACAATAATCTTTCAACATTTTTTTTTACATATTTAAAATAATGAGAACTCTATCTAGGTTTTATCCAACATTCACAATTTAGATTTTAATCTAAACAATTTTTACCTTTTTAAGTGCTTGTTTTTTGGGTAAAATTTAAAGTACAAATGCGTGCAGTCTGATTTGAAGGAGTTTTGTATAGACAATATTTAAGAAAAAAATATGTTTTAATAAATTTCGACCGTGTCAATTAATTTGTATATGCTTCAAGGTATTATTTTTAATTTAAATAATTTTTTCCACGAGTAAAAGCCATTTTGGTTTATTTTAGATCAAAAAACCAGACAAAATTTCGACTACACAGGATGGTCCAATTTCAATTATGGAAAGAGATTTTGTAAGTGTTTTGACTACTTTACTATGTTATGTAGCAAACATATTTTTGCAGGAAGCCGATTTTCGTTAAAAAATTTCAGTTTCTTGTAATTATATAAAATAAGTTTATGCAATTTTTTCCATATTAAAACACAATTTTTTTACATACAAATATCAAAAATCTGTTTTCTAGACGTAAAGTTGCCAAAGAACTCGTGTATCTCTGCAGAATTCAAATCGGATCATTCTAAGTAGTCGAAATTTTGTCTGGCTTTTTTTGTCTAAAAAGAAAAACAGACCGCATGCGGTAATGTTGGTACGGAGTTGATACGGGTTTTTTTTAAATATGTTGCGTTGGCAACACTGCCGACGGTGGTGAACGCGCGCGCGCGCGGGATGCGATAATATTACAACCGGACCTAACTTCAATCGGTCACGTGATGTTACTTCGCTGTAGAATTTGATAATTTTTCTTCTCTCACAGTGTATTATTTTTCTACAATAGGTGTCTACAGAAAGCCATCAACATGAAGTAAGTTTATCCGTTTGAATCCATTATGTTTTACCGCAACACTAGTATTTATTTTCGCCATTGGCAACGTTCCGACGTTGTTCGTTTGAAATATCGTTCATTCCGGTCGTCCGGTCCGGATTGAACGTTTAAATGTCGCATTCAAATATGAAAAAACACCTAAATTTACTCACACAAAATGACTTACACCACGACGTTCTGTTTGTTTAAAGGATCGGATTGTGCGCGTACAGCGGGTACAAAATCTACCCCGGACATGGCAAGACCATGGTGAAAGCCGACGGAAAGGTAACTCTATTGGAGATTTTTACAAAATAAAAAAATTATACTTATGTTTGTATGTAAATCAACTTCTGAACGTTTTGTGTATGTGTGTGTGTTTGTTCCATGTCCGTTTTCCGTCACCTTGTCAAGACTTTCACGTTCCTCAATTCAAAATGCGAGCGCGCTCACCTAATGAAGAGGAACCCCCGTAAGGTGACATGGACGATATTGTACAGGTGAGTCGGGGCAGTTTCGTCGTTGAACGTCCGTAAGTTGGTCTCGTTGATCACCTACGTTCTACGATTGGATTTGTTTTCGCAGGCGGAAGCACCGCAAGGGTCAGGAAGAAGAGACCGCGAAAAAGAAGACCAGGAGGACTCATAAATTCCAACGTGCAGTTGTCGGCGCATCGCTGTCCGACATTATCGCCAAGAGGAATATGAAACCCGAAATGAGGAAGGCCCAAAGAGATATTGCAATTAAGTGAGTAACAAACAATTAATGTAACTTGTCGTCCAATGTGAGATTATAGGTTAAAATGTAAATTAAATTGGGGATTATTTCCTATGATTAATTTTTAATTTTATTCGAGTATTTGCTATCTCGAAAAGATAGCTGATGATAAACCATTGATGAGGAATAATAATTGTTTCTAATGGCATAGAGATGTTTATTAGAATGTTTTTTAGTCGGTTTACCAAAATTAAAGCAACTGGATGTACAATTTTTAAATACTTAAAAATAAATAACTTGCAATTATGTCCCTGTGATTATTTTTATTGTTATTCGAGTATTTGCTATCTTGATAAGAGAAAGCTGATGAGAAACCATTGATGAGGATTTTTTAAACGAATTACTAACAAATGGGAGACTAAAAACAAACACTTGTTTAAAGTGTTAAAATCTAAGTTAACCTATTTATATTTTTTTAATCCCTTGTTATCGTGTTTGGGTTTACGGTTAAATCTAAACGTACTGACGGGGTACAATAATATATATATATATGTTCTTTTAAACGCTCGTTTATTGCAAATAAAAATGATACAACGAAAGTACCTGTCGAGAATAACATTTTGTACACTTTAAAAATACAATAGTCGTAATATGGCATTAATGCAAAAAATTATACAATGAAAGTAGCTGTCGAAAAGAACATTGCAATAAACAATAAGGTGAAAGTACGAATATCGATCCCTCGTTTAATTTGTGTTCGGGTTTATAGTTGAATCTGAACGTACAGACGAGGGTACATTAACATAATATATTGGCCTCTTTTAAACACTCGTATATCAAACACTAATGATATTATGGTAGTACCTGTCGAGGGGTACAAGATTAAATTTTGAAAAACCAATCGTTAAATTCATAATGTTATGCTCAATTTATATGATTATTATTATTAACATTCGAGTATTTGCTATCTTGATGAGAAGCTGATGAGAAACCATTGATGAGAATTGAGCATTTTTGAAAATACAAACTAAATGTGTAAAAATAAAAAAACTCGTAGTATACGAGTTAGTAGTAGTCTTAAGTTAAAAGATAATTACCTTTAATCCATTATATCTGCAGTCGATGATGTTTGTTTAGTATTTGCTACTTTTGAGTTATTAATGATACAAACTTAAAAAAAAACCTGAGAAAACGTACAAATAATTTAGTAAGAAAAAAAAAACTTTATATTTAGTAATTTTTTCATTTATCGCTTGAAATATTATTGCAAATGCCGTCTTTAATTGTTGGTGAAGAGTATTTGCTAACACTAATTTACGTGCGTCAATTGCTTCAGGCGTTTTTTATAGAGTATATTTTTGGAAAACTTACATCCGAGTTTAAAGTTTTGATGATGTACTTTTAGTATTTGCTACTACTGAATGTCTTATATTGTGATTATATAATAATTAATGCTGAGGAAACTTTAAAATCGTGTATTTACTGGTTTTTCATTAAAATAAATATTTAAAACGGCAAGCAAAGAAAAACGTGGTTTTATCGTAACTCGCCGAAAAAAAGTAATAAACAATTTGCTTAATTCCTATGATTATTTTTCATTGTTATTCGAGTATTTGCTATCTTGAAAAGAGAAAGCTGATGAGAAACCATTGATGAGGAATAATTTAAATGAAATAAAAAACATTGTTTAAAGTTAAAAAAAAATCTATAATTTATATGTTGATACATTTTTGAAGCCCTTGTTTTCGTGTTTAGGTTTATGGTTAAATCTAAACGTACTGACGAGGGTACAATAATATAATATATTCTTTTAAACACTCGTTTATCGCAAATCCAAATGATACAACGTGAGTACCTGTCGAGAATAACATTTCGCAATCCATTAAATTCTTAATATTCATCCCTTGTTGTCCGTCTGTAAATTGATTAGGATTTTACGATTAGATCCGAACGTTCAGACGTGGGTAAATAAACACGTATCGGCCTCTTTTAAACACTGGTATATCAAACACTGATGATATTACGTCAGTACCTGTCGAGGGGTACATGGGCATTTTTTTAATAACTAAAAAAAACCAATTATTACAGCTAGTTTTAATATATAAATTTATAAATACATATTTTAAAGTATACTCTAATTTGAGAAATATTATGTTAATAATATCGACTTGACCTGATCCCTATGATTATTTTTATTGTTATTCGAGTATTTGCTATCTTGAAAAGAGAATGCTGATGAGAAACCATTGATGAGGAACAATTGTGAAATTAAAAACAAACGCTAAAATCTTAGTTATATTTTTTGAATCCCTTGTTATCGTGTTTGGGTTTATGGTTAAATCTAAACGTACTGACGGGGTACAATAATATGTATGAATATGTTCTTTTAAACGCTCGTTTATCGCAAATAAAAATGATACAACGAAAGTACCTGTCGAGAATAACATTATTTTGTGTACACGATAAAATCTACTTAAGATCCAATAAAAGTATTAACGTTCATTCCTTGTTTGGGTTTTTGTCATCAATGGTCCATTTATTTATTACATTTTTTTTTTTTATTGCAGGGCTGCAAAGGATCAAAAAAAGGCTGCTAAAGCGGCAAAGAAGCCTCCTCCACCGCCTCCGACCAAAACGAAGGTATGTATTTGGATTATAATTTGTTTTAAACACCATTACTACTTTTGAAAATCTATGTATTTTTTTTTTTTCAGAAACAACCTAAGAAAGTACAAGGAAAGGTACAGCAAAAGGCTGCTCCTCGCGTTGGTGGAAAACGATAAGTTACTGTATTTATACTTATTAATAAAAAAATTTGACGAAAAGCCGTTGTTTTATTATATAAACTGTGTTATATCTTTTCATGTGACCTGCAGAGACCCAAATGTGTGTTTACTATAACTAGGGCTAAAATTCAAAAAAATATATTAAGTGTATTTGCCAATTTAGAATTTACAAAAACTGTATTTTATAATATATAAAACCTGTTAGAGAGGTCTGAATGGCGGCGGTAATGTTTTCACAAAAACTAGCCACCCTTTTATTTTGAATTAAAACAAATTATGTATCTGCATATTGATTTGAATACACACTCAGATCAAAGGTAGTCCTTAAGAATGAAAAATTAGTCTTACAATTTCCCGATTTAACTCTGCACAGGTAATATGTCGTTTGGATTGTAACAAACGCCGTTAAGCAAAGACCCGAATTTGTCATGTTATATAAAATATTCACATCTAGTAAGGAATTTGGTAAGTTCCTGTGCAATAAATACTTAAACCAAAATATTTGTCAATAACAAACATATGAACGTTTCCACTTATGCTGAACAAATTCTTATACTTTTGGAGTCCAGTAGAAAATCTTACCGAAGAGTTTTATGTTAATCAGACATAACATTTACAGTTGGAACACATTAATTATTATTTGGTAATTTGGTAGCTGTTTAAAAAAATTTGACCAATTCTAAAAAAGTAGAAAATGTGGATGCGCTTAAAATATTTATATTAAATCGGTGCAATGTGCATATTACAACATCATAACTAGACTTTGGAACTTTTCTTATAGGAGTTATATTATTTCAAACGGTACTTGTATAATGTGGTATAAGAATTTAAAATTGATTAGTAAAACATTGGATACAAAGAAATAGTAATAAAAATTACCTAATATTGAAACTTTATATTTATCAATTTCAAAAAGTTATAATTAAAAAAAACTAAGTATAACTATTGGTTGCGACCATTTAAATAACCCAACGTTCATTTAAAATTGAAAAATAATTTTCTTATATTCGTTTGATATATGTACAGATGAACGATAAATTTGAAATCGTTAACATATTTTATATTGTAAGTGAACGATTGAAATAAAAAGAAACTCACAAAATTTGAAGCCAAATGACAACTACGCTTAAGTGAAAAAATAACAATCTTAGATGAAATGGAACAGATCAGATCATCTGAAAAAATGCAAAGAAAAGTTGGAATTTTGTGGCGTAGCATTAATCAAATTTTCTTAGACTTGCGTCAAAGTTCATTAATTGAAAATGTTTAAAGAGAATAATTATAACATAAGGATTACAACTATTGCAGAAATAATTTTGGAAGACGAGTTGTGTGGACGACTACGACTAACGTCAATATAATATAGTTAATAACCAATTATCAGGGGTACAGTCGATATAAACAAATTTAACAAATTTTCTAATCTTACTTAGAAACAAAGTTAAAACTGTATTTGACGGTAATATTATATCTACCGTTTTATAACACAAGACTTCCCAATTGTCGTATTGTTAGTTTTTATCGACAACTTATATATAAAAAGACGGCAGACACAAGGTAATTAAAAAAAAAAACAAATTCGAGAGCATTTTAAATAAATGGAGGGCAGCGACACTTTTTTTTATTATTATGATCCAATAATAATAACCATATTATTTATATGGTTGTAACAAACAAAAAAAAATATGGCGAAGTAAAATACACGTATGATAACAATGCTAAAAATGAAGAAGAAAAAATTATATATATGTATTTGTTTTACAATGATGACTTAATCAAGAAAAAAAAAAACAACATACATACATAATGAATCACTATTTCATGTGTATACATATAAAGTTTACTTATATATATATATACATAAATTTGTAAATTGGTTTAATTTTTTTTAAAGTTGCCTATTACGAGACAAAAAATATAATATATCGAATTTGCAGTTTTGAAATACACTAACAAAAAACAAAAAAAAACGGTAATAAATCAAAAAACTATCAAAAAAAAATTTACAATAGTAAAAAATAGAAAAAAAGATGTGTCAAATGTTTTTATTTCTCTTGCACTTTGTTAAGGCGACAGACGAGAAAAAAAAATTATGTCAGTTAAAGTTTCGATTTTTTTGATATTTACATCGGTATAAAACTCGGACACATTTTTGACATGATAATAATTAATATTAATACGATACTTAAATTGTTATAACGTTTTATTTGTTTTTGTTTTCACTAATATGAATAATAATTTTAAAAAAATAGTTTAATATATAGTTTCGAATAATTTATGAAAAAAATATATATAATTGTTTAAAACCAAAAAAAAAAAAAAATGGTAGAAACATATACATATATAAATACATACATACGTGTAAAGGAATTTTTTTTTCTCTAGACAATCGTTTCTTAGCGCTACACAATCATTTTGGGTGACAACATTTGATTCGATAATGTTATTAAAAAAAAATATTAATAATTAAAAAAAAAAAACTACGTGTTTGTTTTGAATCATACACACGGTGTAAGAAGTCCGCCGGTCATCACTCGACTAATGTCTTCGGTTTTTCCCAGGGAAATATGTCACGGCCAAAGTGTCCGTACGTGCTCGTCTTTTGATAGATGGGATTTTTTAGATTTAAATCCCTGAAAACAGAGAAACAGTTAACAAAATTGTTCTTTGTTGCATATTTCTTTTCGATATACCGACCTGACGATTCTTCCCGGCCGCAAGTCGAAATTGCTATTGACGATTTTTAACAATTCTTTTTGCGTCTTGGTAGATGTGCCGTAATGGAAAAGTGTTATTGAAATTGGTTCTGCAACTCCGATGGCATAAGATACCTTAAAAATATATATATATATATCGATAGAGTACATTTACTTTATAAACGACTTGAAGAAAACGTTTCGAAAACTCACTTGCACTAAGCATCTTTTACACAGGCCCGATTTGACCAACGACTTGGCCACCCAACGTGCGGCGTACGCTGCCGATCGGTCTACCTTGGTGAAATCTTTGCCGGAAAACGCACCGCCTCCGTGAGCGCCCCAACCACCGTACGTATCGACAATAATTTTCCGTCCGGTCAGACCGGCATCGCACTGTGTGAAAAATAAAAAAATTATACACCCGTCTTTTATTATTTTGGGGGGATAAAGTATATAATATATATATATGGAAATTTTACCTGTGGGCCGCCCATTACAAACTGGCCGCAAGGGTTGATGTGGAATATTGTCCTGTCGTCGAGATACTGTGGCGGTATCACAGTCTTGACGACTTTAGACATGACCTCCCTCCGCAAGTCTTCCAGGGCTATTTTCTCTGAGTGCTGAACGGATATAACGACGGTGTGCACTCGCTGCGGAATGCATGCGCCACCGACCAAGCAGTATTCGCACGTCACCTAAAATAAATTTGCATAATATGTCAATCGACGTTGTCGTATCGGTTGGTTTGTGTTTAATTATCCTTAATTATATGTTTTGGCTATTATCTATGCGTTTTGTTATCTGCTCGACCGTTTTACGGTAATATAAATACGGATATTTAATAAAATTAATTTGACCTTGCGATCTCTTTTTTTTTTTTTAACAGTAAAAAAAAACTTACGGTAGGCATGGTGACATGGCGCGTTTGATTATAATTACAATGATTATTATTAAAGACAAAAAAAAAAACCAAATAATTACATCGAAACGATAACGTAAGAAAAACAACAATAACCGTGGCCAAGATTCTACATAGAAAAATAGCAAACAACAACGACAATATTTATGTTCTGTGAAGTTAACACACGTTGTACCTGTGTTTTGGTGTCCGGTCGAGCCCACCACAACACTCCGTTCCTTCGGAGTTCGGCCACCTTTTCGTTGAGTTTGTGCGCCAACACTACGGTCAAAGGCATACACTCTTCAGTCTCGTCGGTCGCATAGCCAAACATCAATCCCTAAAAATAAGTTTTCGGTAAAAAAAATTAAAACTCAGCGACAATAACAATTTTCCGAGCAAGCGTGTAACCCAACACAAATAGCGGTCCACACGCTGCCTAAACCAAGACATACGTACACAGGTAAATAATAATAATTATATTGTATTTGACGAATGCAAAAAATATAATGTTGTTAAGGCGGCGCTCTCTTGGAAAAAAAGTTACCGATAAAGTTATTTGTTTGTAATCGATAAGCGATAATAGTATTGTACATACCAACAAAATATAGCGAAAATTATCAATACAAAATAACGCAAACGTTTTGGTAAACACAAAACGTTGTTTTTATTCCCTTCATATCATTATTTTTTTATATTTTATCATGCTGTTAGTCCCATGTTTAAATTTTTCATGCGATACACCGAAATTAAAATTTAGGGATAAAAAATAAATGTGTCGTTGGTGTGTAATATTTATTTCACAAATTCATTGTTTGTACACCACCCGTGACACTTGGATCGGTCTAACTTATCAAATTTACATAAAACATCATAATATTACACTCCAGCCGGCAAAAACCTCGGCTACCGTACATACAAGATGACAACAGACAACTGTTTAATAAAAAACCCCAGCAGTCTAGACATTGCGTATGAAAAATATACCGATTTTGCATTATCGGCTTCTGTCGTACAAATATAAATATGTACATCAGGCATATATTATTATATATATTTTTTTTGCTCGCAGTTGAATTTTTTTATTATCTCTTTTTTTCCCTCATAGTCATCATATGTCGTCTAGTAAATTTTGAAGACGTAGCAGAAGGACATATATATATATATATATATATATGAAAGTTTTGGCTACAATATCGTTGAGATGTTTTTTTGTTTTACAGAAAAAAAAACATACCTGGTCTCCGGCGCCGACCTCCTCGGCTGGCCTGTTGATGTGCACGCCGGCGGCAATATTTGGCGATTGTTGATCGATAGCAAGCATCACTGAACACGTCTTGTAATCAAAACCTGCGGCAACCCGACAGCGGGACAACACACAACACATAGCAACAATCAGCAACTTGGTTCGCAAATTTTTCAATATTTTTTTTAAATATCTTTTTTTTTTTTTAAACCATCTAATTTTTTGTAAAAATTATTTTTCTTAACTTATATACATACATCTGGCCGTCATAAGTTTACACGTAATAATAACAACCTTATGTGTTCGTAAAAATTAAAAAAAAACATAGAAATTCAACAACGCCTATTGCAATAATTAATTAATATTAATATTATGTTTGTTACCGTAAAAAAAAAATGGCTTATAGAAAATTTGTCATTAAAAATATTACAACAAGTGTATTATATTATTACAACGACACATACGTACACACAATAACCGTTGAGATACGATACATTTAAAAAAAAAAAAAAAAGATTATTATTATGATTACTAAACAGACAATCTTAGATCAAAATGGTTGAAAACTGTGGCACACTTTGCTGTCGAAAGAGTTTGAAATTGTTTTTTTTTTTTTATTATTATGTCTATGACAACCCACACAACAAGCCTCGTCTAAGACAATACAACTGATTGATCGTAATATAAAAGAAAAAAAAAAGAACACCCACGTAGCACCACACATATGTTTACATTAAAAAAAAAAATGAAAAAATGCCTCCCAGAAATCCGTAGGTAGAGGTTGTCGGTTTCATCTAACTTCCTCGATCGGTAGAGTATATATTATGTACACAACAATGATTTCGACAAAAAAAATACAATACTAATAAATCTTTTTGTCGCTTTTTGTTTTTTTATTACTAACATGCAAATAGGCATATTATAATATTATTATTATATTTTTTATTCATCAAATATTTTTCACATGCAAGGAAAAATTACAAGTTAAAAGCGTTTGAAATAATATAATTAAAAAAAAAATTAATTGACATTAAGATAATATTATTATGCACAATTCTTCCACAATAGATATCAAACCCGCCGGGGTCTTATTATCGTTTATTTATTTTATCCTATTCCTTAAGATCCGATGTATTAAGATTGTATTTAATAGGATAAAATTGTTTTAAAATTATTATCATTTGTAATTCATAGAATTTTATAAAAGAAAATATATTACAATATGCATGCTCCGTGTTAATTAATAGTCGACGTTTAATATAGGGTTTTAATCTATCGTCGGAGAGTATGATAACGCGCTATACAACATATTATTATTATTATTTGATACCTAAGCACTTATAATATAGAAATGATGAATAAAATTATTATTATTATATATATATATATTTTTTTTTATCAAGGCGACCACTTACCTCGCGAGATAATTAGCAATTAAAAATGTAATCAAAGCGAAACTGTGGATGTGTCAAAACCACCATTGTGCTTAACATATTATTATAATATACAATATAAATATTATTTTCCCAATGCTTAAACACGTTTCTGCTGTACAACGAAACCCCCCCAAAAAAAAAAGTTTAAGCGTATTTTTTTTAAAAACTATTATTATTATCCCAAAAGACGCATACAATTTTTGTATTAAATTTTTTTTTTGCAACAGCCAATCAATAAAGTTTCCCCGTAACTGTTTATGTGCTTTATCGATACCCTACCTGGTCCCCAGCCCCAATCAGATCTTCGATTTTGTTAATGTGTACGCCGTCCGCAATATTAGACGACTGTTCATCGACCGTGACGAGCACGTTGCATGTCTTGTAGTCAAACCCTGTAGGCGGTATATATATATATATGATTCTAAATTATTCAACTTTGACGTGTTTTTTTTTGGAGGGTAATGCGCGACGGTAAAGCAAACAAAATTTGTGTCTATACAATTTTCAACACAGCAGCGGTTTTAACTACCAGTTAACATTATAGCAGCGGCGGCGATGCGGCCTAAATGGAAAAAGATAACGGTTTTTGTTTGAATAATAATACAGATTATAAAATACCTATGTATTAATTACATTTAAGGTATAAATAAATATTAAGAGGTCAAAAAGCAATACCTACGGCGTGAACTATATATGTTTGTAGTATAAACTGCAATATAAAAATATAATTATTTTATATTTAATACAAAGGTAAGAAGGTCATTAATGAGTTATGACATCAATCTTTTGAAAATCATATAAGTTAGAAATTAACGAAACAATGAAAAAGACTAAAAATAACTAACTTATATATAATATTTTACGGATTAATTCTCTCAAAAGGAAAAATACTACAAAAAACACAATATTGAAAACAAGTAAAAATAATTAAACAAATATAATAAAAGCAGTAAATACTATTTCGATCTTTACGTATGGAGGTAATATTTTAGATTAATATCATTTTTAGGCAACAGATTTTACGATAATAATTATCCAATAGTCATAACGCCTACTTTTACCCATTACGCAGTTATCACTTATTACGTACAATATATTCAATTAAACTTGATTTGAATACCGAGATTAAGTATAACCTCTTCAGTGACGTAACAATTGATTATCTTCTCAAATGTTGTACACTATATTATCATTTGTAATTCAAAAATCTATCTCTCGTAAATAAATTATAACAAAGAAACATAACGTAATTCTATAAACATATTTTATATATGTTTAATAATATATTCAAATCAATTACCTTTGGATGAATCGTCGTAACCGATATGTCGAATGGTGTCTCGAACTACTTTTTGATAATCGACATTGGCTTTGGACGTTATTTCTCCACAGAGCAACACCATTCCCGTTTTGGTAACGGTTTCTGTAAAAGAAGAGAAACGCTAATTAGAAATTGTATTTTTTCACACAACCTTTTTATTAAGTCATTTCAGTGCACTCTTGCGCTACTTTAAATTCAAAAGGTCGATTACAAATAAATTTTTAGTAATAAATTATCGAAACCCCGTTTTCAAAACAATTTTTACATGTTATACGTTTGAAAACTGCGCAGCAAGACTGGTATTTTTTTAAAAGACAATTATTTCGTAATGAAAATTATCCAAATTTAAATGCATTTAAGAGATCACAAGAGTTCATTCATAATAATAATTTTAAAAAACTTTTTGTAATATTGCACAATATTACATACATAATAATAATAACGGGCGCCGTTAATTATGCGATTCTTAAAAACTGATATTATTTTTTATTTAAAGCGCAACAATAAAAAGCAATTAATAACTAGAAATTGTCTCCAAAACAACAATAATTATATAACGTCATTGCAGATAGATAGTGTTTATGTAAAGAAAAGAACACGAGAACAATTAATTTATTAATATTATTTTTTTTTTTTAGATAAACTGGTGGTCAGTTCTCTGTGGCTGTATTCAATCATCATAGGATTTAGCACCAATTTTTTATGACTGATAGACATATTTTTTTTTAATACATCAAACGTCTCAAGAGAAATACAATATACACTTTCACAAAATACAACAATCACTATAACGGTATTGATATTTTTTAGTATTTGCTCAAAAAAAAAAACAACCACGCACACGTTCAACGAGTAAGATAAAATATTATACTTTCAGTCGAGGACACCACAAAAAAAAAACAAACAATTATTTTTTCCATTATCTTAATTACACATTAAAATTACTACAATATTATTATTATTATTATTCTTATATACACTACTCGATTATTTGTCGGGAACAAACGATTCCCCAAATGTTCCGCATTAGAATATCCATCTGCATAAATTATTTACACAATTGTTTTTTATCCATAATGTAGTCGGGGGGGGGTTTAATTTTTAGTAGGTTACGAGGTAAACCGCGGCTATGATTGCTATCGTCGGCGAAGTATTAAATCAAAATGTTAAAATTTTGTAAATAATACTATTTTATACTTGTTATCAGTTGCTGCAGTAGCGCTGCTAATGTCGTATCAATAATTATTTTTCGCAGTAGAAATATTATTGCCATAACCTCAAAAAACCGCACGGGCGCGCGCGCAAAATTCGTGATAATACAATTATTATTGTCGTTCACGTTTTTTTTTTTTGTTATTGTTTATTATTTATTTTCGGATAAATTAAAATATATACGCGACACGGTAAAATATTGTAATATCGGATGGGAAATTAAGTGGGTTTGAAAAAAAAAATTAAGGTAGGTATAATGAAAATGTTTTTTTTATATAATAAACCCCCAAATCGAAGATAACGAAATAAGGTTTGTCCAAGTAGGTAATACTTACCGCACGCGACTTTTGCGTCCGGATCTTGTTCCAGATGGGCGTCCAAGATAGCGTCGCTTATCTGATCGCACATTTTGTCTGTAAATAAAAACAAAAACACGGTCATTTAACCAGTTTAATGGCGCCATAATAACAACAACAATAATAATAATAATACACGCGAAGGACGCATTTAAATGATGCTACAACGTTACTACTATTATTATGTATAATAAATATTTTGTTTGTCCCATTTTATACACCGGCACGGCGACGGCGGCGTGCGTGTTTATTTGAGGCCGCTGTCGATTGGCCGCCGGCCAGCGGCAGAGGCCGACAAAAAAAGCCTATCCTCTCTTATCAGACATGCATAATGTGTAACACACAATACTAGTAACTAGTGTGTGCACTGTGCACACAGACACACACACACATACACACACGCTAGAGAAAAAGATTAAAACTCGAGAATCAAAGGTTAAGAATATTAGAAGGGGAGAGGAAAACCGATTTGATTTCGAGGACAAAGACGGATCCGACGTTGAATTAAAACAAGAAACAATTTAAATTTAAAAATATATCAAGTACATCGACGACGATGAGATAACGGCGGAAATGAAATAAGCCGCTAGCCGTTCGTTCGGGCAGCCGACGAAACACGTGTTCGGCTACGCGCAACTACCTCGGGTGCCCATACATACACACAAACACACACCGGGCACCTTTTCCGTGTGCCTGGTACCTGGAAAAAATAAAAACCGTGCCCAATCCGGTCAGCTAGCTTACCGGGGTGTCCTTCGCCCACGGATTCCGACGTGAACAGGAACATTTCGCCGTCCGGGCTCTCGGGCGGCAATCCGTTGTTACCGTGGCCGTTGGAGGCGAAACCGTTGGTGTAGGCGTACGACAGCTTCTTTTCTTCGGGCATGACGGCGGCGTACTTTCGGTATTAGCTGGCGGACGTTGCTTTGCCGGTAAACTGTTGCAGGAACAAGACGTTGTCTGTGGTCGGGTCGGTCGTTGTTGTTCTCCTGTGTACCGGGGATAGGAAACAAATTGAATTAAAAAAAAAAATTAACCGTAAATATTAGTATAAATACAAAAATGTTGGCAACGAAAACAAATCGTTTGAGAAAAATTATTTAAAAAGTAATCGGGTTTAAATATTATTATTACACGTTTATTATATTTTATTATTATCGTTATCGTAGTATAGGGTGGTCGTCGTACGTCCGTGATGTGCAGTGCAGTCGCGCGACGGCGGCCAAGTGAGAAGTGAAAAGCGACTGGACGAAGACGAAGTGTGTGTGTGCTGCACAGTGTGTATTGGCGGCGGCGGCGACGACGGTACTTCGAACTTCGATTCGATCGGTTCGGTCAGGCGGCAGCGGGGTTGGCTGGCTGACTGTCGGCGGCGGCGTCGGCAGCAGCTGGTACGTCGGCGGCGGCGGCCAAGTGCGAAAAGAACGTACGCCGCAACGCGGACGGTAGTCGCGCCGTGGAAAACGGACCGCCGACGCACAGTGCCGCCAACACTTTTACCGTACCGGGAAATCCCTCTACTCCCTGTGCGCGCCGGTCCGCCCCCACCGGCGGCGCACCACGCGACCGTGCCGCCTCCGTTACACACACACACACACACAGACACGGTAGTTGTATATTATTTTGGATTTTGCTGTGATCAACTACTGTTTTTCTTTTTTTTGCATTATATATTAGATACCTATTGGGTTCGTGTACAATTATTATTATTGTTGCCCGACACGCATAGACAAAATTTGGTGTATTATTGTTTAATCGGAGAAACAATAGAGAAACGGCCGATCACAATAATTCGAGTATAAAAAAAACTAGTGAAAAGACCCATTGGGGTTGGAACACTTTTCCGAAAGTCTCTCATTACTTTGGAGAATTGAGCGGAAATAAGTAACTTTATTACAAGTAAATTTTTATAAAAAAAAATGTACACATCACTGTCAGTTTAATAATGGTAAATTGGTCATAATACGTAGGTAATCTAAAAAAATAGACTTTTTGGACGGTTGAAAGTTTTGGGAGTTAGAATAGTATGTCTAGTGTTTCACACTCCCTTTAAATTGAGCCAATGTTAATTATTATGGTATTCAGCACCTTTTGTCGAATGTTTACTACTGTAATTATTTACAAAATGTTGTCAATTAGTGATTGAAATTGAAATAGTCATTACCTTACTGCAGTAACTCGCGAGTTAGGTACACAGTTTGCGGTTTGAGAATTTAGCGCCTCTCTGGTTATTCGGAGAAAACACACAGGAGCGAGCGAGAAAAGCAATGTTGAAATTTCCATTACAAAAGGCTGCTGCAAGGCCAGGTCAACATTATTATTCTTTATTGTAACAAACATCTTCCTAAACACTTACCTACTACCTTATCTTTGCTAAGAAATTACACGACCAAATAGGAACAACAATATTGTTTTATAAAACGGTTGTTTCATGTTTGCCTTTAGTGAAAAATTAGAATATTTTAGTACATTCAAAAATAATATAGAAAGGTATTTGTGTTAAAAATGTTGTTTCGATCGTGGAAAATCCATAGCATTTGGAAACAAAGGAATCGGGCGAATACATTAAATATTTACATTGTTTTTAAATGGCCAATATAATATATTATGATTTATGAACATACCTACTTTGAATGTTTACAATTTAGTAATAATTGTTCAATTGGCAACAGACCATTTGCCATTTGTAATATCCATTATACAGACATCATTGGTTTGTTTGTATCCATTTTTTTTATTTCATGATATTAACCAAATACGCGTAATCGACTAATATTTAAGACAACTTACATAATTTACAATATTACAGTAAATAAAATGGGAGCCTTCTGTACACATATGCAGACTTGCCAGATTATAGTGTTGTTTTTTTTAGGCAACCACGTCATGTTAATGGGAAAAATGTGTTTTACTAATTTTAATTAAACAATTTTCTTCAATTTTAATGATTGTATTCAGTGGCCATAATGATTAATCAGGCAATCCATAATCATTAACTTATCTATTAAACAGCAAAGTAATCATATAGGTTTAATTACATTTATGATCTATTTTATTATTTAGAATAGCTAACTATCCGTCGATAAGTTATTTATAGTTTATAGTTTAACAAATCATTAAAAAAAAGCAGAATTAAAAAAATTTTGGTAAATATTTACACAGTTCAAATAAGATATTATGTTTGTTATTCTATTCTTTTTTTAGAGTTTATTCCATTTGAAATATATTTTTGAAAATTATTCTAAAACATTGAAATTGCTGAAATGAAAATAAAACAGTGTTTTTTTTTGCCTTTGTTGGCAATTTAAAAAAAAACAAGACACATTAAAGAAAATTTGGACTCAACGAAAAATAATTGATGTATCTTAAATTTTTGTTCCAAAATAAAAAAAGGCGAACGATTTTGTTTGACAAAATGGAGAGGAAAAAGTATATTTTGCATATTTTAGAATTTGTTATGGATAAAAAAATTCACAAGAGAATTCATATTTTTTAGTCTGCTTCGTCTTATTTTTATTATATATTAAAAAATATATATTTATTTTATTTTAATTTGCTATTTATAAACTTGAAAATGCTTATTATGTGAAACGTTTCATATTACTTGTGTAATTATTTGTGTTGTTCGACTAAACAAATTATTCAAAAGAAGACCGATTTAAAGTAAAAAATAAATGTACTTAAACAATAATCGTTTAATTGTCATTCCAAATAATTGTATGTTTATTTTATCGAATTTTGACCAGAAAAACTGTACACAGTAATTCTTATTGGTTTTGTTTAGTGCCTAGTGGTTTTTTATTGGATACTGCTATGGTGGATTATTTAAAAACAATATTTTAATACATGGACCTACAATATAGTATGAACTATGTTTTAAAAGGGGAACTTTGACACAAGTATGAAATATAAAAATTATAATAAAAAAAATTGCCTATAAATGCATATTTTTGTATAAAACTATATATTTCAAAGGTTTCAACTTTCAAATGCATGTTTTAAGGTTTTTTTAATGCATAATAGCTTATTATTTTAAGGCTTTTTAGTCCAAACAAATTCGGTATTTATTAAAATACATTGTATGAAAACAATCGCCTCCGCACTTAAGTGGCTTGTACAAAACATTTTTTTTTTTAAATATGTGCTTGTCGCAAACTGCAGGTGTACTTGGTTGTACAAAAGACTGCCAAATAATATGAGTTTATTACTCTCACTATACATGTATACATAAATACATAACCCACCACTCCATAGAATCTACTGAGTATTATATACTCCATAATATATATATATATATATATTATTATTATTATTATTATTATTATAACATAATGAAAATAATGTTTACTATGTTACACACCATTCAAAACCAATATACCGTCAAAAAGTGTGTAATAAAATTTAAGTTTTCCAAAAGGAAATTAATTTTGTGATGGTCTACACACATCCCTTCATTTTTAAGAAGTATTTAATGTTATAAATTATAATAATTGATATTAGACAACGTCATTAATGTTTTTAGGTAAATATATTATAAGGGAAATAATCAAAGAAAGGGAAGAGGGCTATAGCCCTTACACAAATGGTGTGCATAAAGACTTGTGGAGTAAATTCCCCCACACCTGGTACATGCTTAAACCTATCCCCCCCCCCAGTTTTAATAATTTAATATTTTTTGTTATTTTCGGTTGTTGTCATCCCCTTAAAGTTTACCGTAAATTTCACCTGACCCCGCCCCCCTTCACCTTGAAGAAATCTTGCACACATTACACGAGCCTGCTCCAATCGCTTCGAAAACGCTGTAATAAATATGTTTATCTATAAGTTATCAATGTTAACGTCAAAAGACAATTTTGCTTATTAAGCCGTCAAGGGCTGGCTTTTGTTAATTTTTAATCGTTAAACAAATTTGGACGGGAAACACTTATTTACATTTAATCAAGTACAGTTAGTACAGTAAAATTAATCAATTGATTAATACTGAAAATACTTGTAACTTGTACCTAAGGGTGGTAGGAGGATGTTAAGAAGTCGACTATTAGGAACCGTAAAATAATTTAAATCACTGCCGAGAGTACAAGATACCACACACCTAATTAAAGCGGGTTTAAATGGTCCCACAAACGAGTTCACGGTCGTACAAAATATAAATATTGTTAGTATATATGTATTCCGATAATGATAATAATAATATTAATATGTAATATCCGGTATTCGGCCTTGGCGTTCTTCCGAAAACGGATTTTTCTTAAAAAAAAAACCGAAGTCTTAATAAGGTTTACCCGCCGCCGATGGACGTAGATCTTTAGCGCGCGGCTCCTACATACATAGGTATACTTAAGTACGCGTGACTGCACCTTTCTTTCGTGCCGGCAACGTCAGCTTATAGTCATTGGTCGGTTCACACTTCGTAGAACGGCAGATAAATTAGTCAGATAATATTCCGACGATGATGACGACGACGACGACCGTGTCTTTTGTCATTGTAATTTAATAAGTATAAAAAAATTTTTTTTAAAAAAAATACATATAGTGTCGCTGAGGGGCATCCGGCACAGCAAGTTCTTATACAACGCACACCACGCACGGCATTCTACACACGATATGCTAATGAATTGAAATGTCAATATTTTGTATAAAAAAAAACTTCACTTTACTTAAGCACTGGCAAACTGTGAGAGGGTAACCGCCAGCTGGGCTGCCAAAATTTTGGGCTACCTGGCGACCGTTACACGGTTTAAAAGTTGTAGGGGTTAGCAAAGTATTATAGTAAGCGAAGAGGTGCTGCCAACATATTTCTTGTAGACGTTGTATTAACTGTTGAGTAATAAGTTTTTTATAAAAAAAAATTACAACTAATATCATTGGTATTTGATTATAACTAGTACCAATGACAAATGTTAGTCAATATCGTTAAACAGCGGACCGCGGTTTTTATATTTCCCGTTATACTGGTAACACTGACGTCCGACCATACATTTCGAACCCCTGATATTGTCAGGCGCGTGACGTCACAAAGTGTCAAGATGAACTTAGGTCTTACATACCCTAGATATCATGCAAACGATGAAAAACAGCGCGACCTAGTGGACAACTCAACAAGTTCTCTTATTATAACATATTTCGTGATGTAAGTTGGGAATTTCTTCTAAAAATCGCTACAGCTGTTGTATGCATGGTTAGGTTGGTTTTTATCCATTTTTTTTGCGAATCAAACATCTCGATTAGTACACTAAATTACACAATTATCGATTTTGTCCTTTGTACAGTGTCTACTGGTACCTGCGTAGAAACTCAAACGTGTTACCCCTGGCTGCGCAGACCTATACGAGAATAACGCATAGTTACTGCGCGGGTGCGTTCTCTCGTTAAACGGAGTGTAATGAAGGGTTACCGTACTTGTAAAAA